GTGCAGCAGCCCAGCACCTGGTGTGCTACACCTTCCCTGGGTGGGAGGGAGGAGCAGAAAGAGGAGAGGGGTGCAGGGTGCAGGGTAGGGGAGCAGCGTGGGAGTAGCATGGCCATCTAGAAGTTAAGAAGGATTGAGCCCTTGGAGTGTTAGAAAGGCCAGACTGGTGATGGTCATAAGGGAGGAAGGTGTCACTTGTTGGCAGCAACAAAAATCGTGAAATCATTTCTTGAGTGACTGGTGTGTGCCAAGCACTGTGCCAACCACACCACATATAGTATCTCATTGTCCAGCACAATCCAGTGAGGGAAGTGTGAAAATTCCCGCTTTTTAGATGGGGAAACGAAGGCTCAGAGAGCTTACTGCCTTGCCCAGATCCTACTGCCCATAATTAGCAGTCAGGTGTGGAAGCCAGATCTGGGCTGAGGAAGTACCACACGAGTAGAGAGAATCCTCTGGCATCCTTGGTGGTCTCTGGTATTTCTCAGAGGGTCCAGGTCACCCTCAGTGCCTGAGGTGCGGTGTGCAGTGGCTGCCCTGTGGTGCACAGGAGGTGCTGGGCCGACAGCACCCACCGTGCAGTGTGAGCTGTGGTGCCTGGGAGCTCGGAGGCACCCAGCCCCTCATTGTCCTGCCTGCGATGGAGCCTGCCAAGGCAGGAGCTCCTTGATGCTGGGGTTGGCTTAGATTCTGCAGCTAATCACATGCCCTGACCCTCTGCTGATGTTTTCTCAGCTTTAAAGTGACCATATTTGACCCTTGGGCCTCAGGTCTGAAAATGTGGTAAGTGAGGCAGCCAGCAGGGCGGTGAGGGGGACGCGGTCAGCAGGCTGGGCTCTCCTCCAGGCTCCCCTCGCCAGGCCCGCTGGACCTTCTGTGCTATAAAGTGGGTCTTGGTTTTTTCACCCGTGAAATGAAGGCTCTGGGCTGGGCGACTGCTAAGCTCCCTTCCAGCTCTAAGCCTTCGTGAATTCAGGGTTCAGAGCGCCCTGGAGCAGCAGCCGCGCAGTGACCTCTAATCAACCTTGGCACATTCTAAGTGCCCGGTAAGCACTTGTTGAACTGAACCCAGGAGAGTAGGAGTTTCTGGGCAGAGCAGTAATTCCCTGGTGGGGTTTGCGGGACACCCTGAAGTGACCGTTCCCACCGTCCGTCCGGGGACTCTCTGAAAACACCTACTGAGTGATGACATTTGGGACTTGTCTTAGAAGTAGCTGAAGAGGAAGAGAAGCATTTAAAGTTAGGAGGAGAGAAACTAGCACCAGGCGTGGTTGCTGTGAAATGTGAGGCCCCCCTCCACATCATTGCTTAGGCCACTCCAGCCAGCTCACCTGCCGGCCAAGGCTCTTAAGGAGGCCCCGGGGAGTCTCAAGGCAAATCCTACCTCTGCCTTATAAAGGGGTCTGAGGAGAGGTGCCCGGCTCTCCTGGAGCTCCGGGCCCTGGGGGAGGGCTCATGGGGGAGGAGGAGGGGCAGCTCTGCCAGTCCCCTTAGAGCCCCTGACTGCCTTCTTGAGGTTCTGTTGCAGCCACAGAGCCTTTCTCTTCCAGGGCACCTAAGAGTCTCCCTCCCTCTTCTCTCTCTCTCTCTCAACACTTCTCTCATACTCACAGTATCTTTATTTCCCTTTCAATATAGTTTTTCTCTCTTACATACACAATCTCTCTCACACTTACTACGTCTCTCTTCTCTCTCACAACTAGTCCTCTCTCTCCAGCCTCCCAGTCACTCATACTTTTCCTTCTCTCTCTCCCCCCACCTCCCTCGCCTGCCTCTCCTCACCCCATGCCTCCCCTGGTGCTTAACTGGAAACAAAAGTGAGTTTGTTGTGCTGGCCAGGAAGCGGACCTGTGGAGGCAGTGGTCGGGGTGGCAACAGCAGAAACAGGCTGGGGCCAGAGGCAGTGCCAACAGCGGGAGACCCCAGCGCTCAGCTATTCCAGGGAGCAGGTAATGCCCAGACAGGGGTCCCTCAGGGACCCTCTCTCTGCCCTGTCTCGTCTCTCCATGACGATCCCATGTATTTGCCTTCTTATCTAGCCTGGAAGGGAGAAAGGGGCTCCAGACTCAGGGAATAGTAGGCACTAAGGTCCCAGGAGTGATATGTCCTCCTTTTCAGAGAACTGTGTGTGATCTGGTGTGTCTGGGTCAAAGTCATGTGGGGTCAAGGATGACTGAGGTCTAGGGTATCTGGATACAAGTGTGGCTGGAGTCTGGAGTCTGGTGGCGGCTGGGGTTGAGGGCATCTGGTTGAGGCACATGACAGAACCTACAAAGACAAGTTAGGTCCAGATCACAAGGAATGTTTTGAGCCATGTCATAGACCCTACGCTTTGGTAATCGAGAGCCATTGAAGGTTTTTCACCTAGAAAGTAACATGACCAAATCTATGTTCTAGAAAAGTAGTTCTTGAACTCTGATCACATGGAGAATTAGGGTGCTAGCAGTCAGTCTTCTCCCAATTAAAAAAAAAAGTAAGATTATTTGTTCAATTGTTGGTTTTTCTTCTATAAAGTTTCCTTAAACCTCTGATGTCTCCTAGCAAGTGTCAGCTACTAAAAAGCCAATGGGAAAAAAAAAGTAAGTTTAAAGTAATAGAAAAATTAAGAAGTGAAATAAATAAATGAGATCTATTGAACTATATACAGATACACAAATAATCTTTTCTGCTAGTAAAATTATTTCTATCTCATATGCACAGTACTTCATGGCGCTGCCCTGATTCTCAGGAGTCTGCCATGTGAACATGTTTGAAATGTTAGGAAAGCAAACTCTGCTGCTACGTAAGAGATGGGGGTGGATGGGGCACCCAGAAGCTGTGGGGGCAGTTAGGTGGCTATTGCAGTGACCGGAACAGGAAACAATGGGAACCTGAACCAAGACTGTGGCAATGGGTGGGAAAGAGGGAGAGAGATGAAAAGTATTTAGGAAGCAAATGAACGAACTCAGGGTCTGATTGGACCTGGATGGTGAAAGAGAAGGAGGCTTCTGGAGTGAGTCCAACATTTCTCGGCTGGGTGGCTGGGTAGCTAGAGGTGTATTAATCAAACGGAGGAGGGCAGGGTTGGGGTGTTGCAAGAAGGGATGCACAGCTGTTTTGAATATGCTGAGGTTGACTTGACAATTCCCAGGTGGAGCAGTCCAGTTGGCAGTGGGAGACGCTTGATACAGGCAGGGCCTGTGGACATGGGTGACCTGGGGAGAATCAGTGAAGAGGAACCCGGGAAGGATAAGGCAAAGGAGTCCTCAAAGAGGTAGAAAAAAATATCAAGAAAGTGAAGCGTTGTGAGAGCCAAGAGTAGCATTTCAGTTCAGAGGACGTGGTCAGCACCACTGATGTCCCAGAGAAATAAGCCAGACCATAGCTTTCTAGTACTGTTGGTTTGATTGCCTTTGTTAACTTACTGGTTCAAGGATAACAAGAGATAGAAACATCAGTGATGAGAGAGAATCATTGATTGGCTGCCTCCTGCACGCCCCACATCGGGGATCAAGCTTGCAACCTGGGCATGTGCCCACCTCTCTGAAACACTGGAGCACTCTTTCTTCAGACACACACAGTCGCTCCTCCTTTTACATCACAATTCAAATACCACCCCCCCCCCCCCTTAAAGAGGCCACTCTTGACCATGCTCTCTGATGTAGCTCCCGGTCATTTTATTTTGTTTTTTCAGAACACTTATCACTACCTGAAATAATTATTTATGGATTTGTTTATTGTCGTTCTCTGCCACTATTTAAGAGAGCAAGGACATATGAGCCTTCTTCACAGCTTTGTTTTCCAACACCTAGAACAGTGACGGCAAACCTTTTGAGCTCGGCGTGTCAGCATTTTGAAAAACCCTCATTTAACTCGGGTGCCACGTCACATATAGAAATTTTTTGATATTTGCAACCATAGTAAAAAAAAGATTTATATTTTTGACATTTATTTTATATATTTAAATGCAATTTAACAAAGAAAAATCAACCAAAAAAAATGAGTTCGCGTGTCACCTCTGACACACGTGTCATATGTTCGCCATCACGGACCTAGAACAATGCCTGGTGCATAATACACATTAAATATTGAGAGAAAGGAAGGGAAGGAAGGAAGGAAGGAAGGGAGGGAGGGAGGGAGGGGGGGAAGGAAGGAAAAGAAAACAGGAGAAGCTTGTCTGGGGAAGGGGACATGTTCAGTGTCGGAATGCCAACTTCTGAGGTTCTGGAGACTCATCTGAGAGATGACACCCATGGGCAGCTGGAAAGCAGACCAGGAGCTCAGGAACAGGCTGCCATCTTGCCCATGTAGGAAGCTGGCCCACGTGGCTCACTGGCACGAGCACGTCCTTTGCGTGGCAGACCGCTCCTTCCAGGCCAGCGATGGGAGGTGACTGGTTTGGGGCCGGTGGGAAAGAGATCCCTCTGGGGTTGTTGCACTGAAGTTAGGTCACAGTTTTCCTCACTTCACTTTTCTCTGCTGTTCTCTGTCCTTGCTGCTGCCCTGGCGCTGGCCATTTTCCATCCTTCATTATCAGCTACAAGACCCCGGATTTTGAACGCAGACTAAATTCTTTTGTCTCTGTTCTTCCAAAGAATATCTCACCCACATCCAATGCACGGAGGCTTGAATCCAGCTTTGCCCAGAAGCTGAACCTAGTTTTACTTACTTAGGAAATATTTTCCCTTGTGCTTGGCTCCTGCTCCATTTCAATTGGCCTTGCAGCCCTCTATCCCCCACAGGGCACTTAGCGGACCCTGCTGTCCTCCGTTCGCAGGGTCTCCAGCTGCTGAGCAGCTCCAGGACATCCTGGGGGAGGACGATGAGGCTCCCAATCCTACCCTCTTCACAGAGATGGACACTCTACAGCACGACGGAGACCAGATGGAGTGGAAGGAGTCAGCCAGGTGAGGAGGAGCCCGGGTGGTGGTGGTGGGGAGGGGACTGCCCACTGCAGTCTGCCTAGGCCCAGGCTGAGCTGGCTCTTCCGGTGGGAGGATCATTGACCAGTGCACCTGGCAACTTGAGTTCTTCAGGGCACTTTCTGCCCCATAAAAACCTTCCCATCGGCCTTCTGTTGGTATCCAGAACGGGTTGGACACTAAGGAGCAAACAAAGACTTAGGACTTAGTCTTTATCCTCAAAGAAATTAAAATCCAAATGGGAAGAAAGACCCGACACCCATGAGATCATGAGAGACGAATACAAGGGCATATATTATTTCATGTCAAATGGTTCAAACTAAATGCTACAGAAGGGAAAGCACCAAGCTGGCTGGGGTGGACAGGAAGGGAGAGAAGGTGTGCCAGGAAGAATCCAGATGGTGTGCTCCAGGGGCTGCTGGAGCCTGGGGCAGGACAAGCAGAGTGAAGCTTGTGTGGGGAGCAGAGAGCTGTCTACGGGGCAGTAGAAGGAAGAGAAGAGCCAGAAGGCTGGAGGGGGGACCACATGGTGAAGTCATGGAGCCAAGGGGAGATCGGGGCGAGGAGTAGTGCTGGCCAAACTCTGGGACAGAGTGACCTCTGAACTGGACTGGTCAGCAGTGCCAAATGCTGCCAGGAACCCAAGGGGAAGGAAGGGTATGGTAGGAGGCAGCAGGAGGGGCTGGTGAGAGGAGGAGGGGGCCTGGGAAGGAAGATGAAACTCTGGAAGACAGACCACACCTGTTTCTTGACCTTCTTTCTCTCTCTCTATACATATTAACTGATTTCAGAGAGGAAGGGAGAGGGAGATAGAAACATCAGTGATTCTTCCCACACACTCCCTACAGGGAATCAAGCCCACAACCTGGGGGCATGTGCCCTTGACCGGAATCAAACCTGGGACCCTTCAGTCCACAGGCTGACCCTCTATCCACTGAGTCAAACCTGCTAGTCTTGACCTTTTTTCGATTAGCATCCCCCACCCCAAGGAAAGTTTAGTGTAAGCGAACTTTGTTAATGAGAGAAATTAAATACTACCAAGAAATCAGATTTTGTCGGGTAGGGTTGAGCTTCGGAGTGCCACAAACCACTGTAATACCTAAAACGTTTTTGCTCCTCTGAGAACCAAGGTTCCCCCTGTCGGGCTGACATCTCCCGGTTGAGAATGCATGGACCACCTGTGCCCAGGACTGGCTCTGCCTGGTGGCCGCCATGATGCCCAGAGCCTAGCAGCTACTCCCAACCACGGCCTGGGTCCTTCCCTGCCCACCAATCTCATTCCCCTGGGTAGTTGCTCTGCAGAGCTAAGAGGAATGACTTTTAACATCCCCCAGCTCCAATCTCTCCTGGAAGAAAGGGCTTTGGGAGGACTAGCAAGTCCTGTAGGCCCAGGGAAGGAAGGAATTTCTAGCCTCATGGCTGGACCCAATCTCTATCTGGAAGCCACTAGGCCTCTTCTAATCAGCCCATTCAGTGAGCCCTTAGCATGTGCTAAACAGTTCACAGGCTCATCTCATTCAAGCTGCACGATGACACTAAAGAAGTTGGGAGCCATTATTATCCCCATTTTACAGAGGGAGATGCTGAGGTTCAGAGGGGCAAATAGCTTGCAAGGGTCAGAGTGTGCAGGTAGCTGAGTCTGGATTCTAGCTTAGGCCTGTCTGACTCCCCAACTTGAAGACTTAACGCACTTTGTCATGCTTTCCTCATTTTGTCAGTCACCTCTCTCTCCTTCCTCAAACTTCCAGGAATTCTTGATGTCCGTGGGAGGACATAAATCTGGAGGCAATGCCACTGACTGGGAGATAAATGGGGACAGCCACAGAACGGGAAGTCTATCCAGGTCTGACAAGAGTTGGGAGAACATTCAAATGACCAGGGCCCAGTCTGGGCTATTGTGGCTTAATGCCTCTGAGGGGCTAGTGCCTCCCTGAGCAAGTGCCTTTCTTGTTCAAGCGAACAAATAGAAAGAAGGAAAGTTGAGAATGGCCTTCTCAGGAGCCCAGTTCGGGGAGGGTGCCTTCTCCCCACCAGGGGCAAGGTCTGCATCCAGAACCCCTGGCAATAACTCCCAGAACCAGACTTCCCTGAGGGCCTGTCACTCACACCCACACGGCCCTTGATGCTAAGGCCTCAGGGCCCTCAGAGACCCAAATGTCCATCCCCATAGATAGAATACCCACATGTAATTTTTCAGAGACCTGACTGCCCATCCCCATAGATAGAACACCCACATGTAATTTTTCAGAGACCTCATTGCCCATCCCCATAGATAGAACACCCACATGTAATTTTTCAGAGACCTCATTGCCCATCCCCATAGATAGAATACCCACTTTCTAGAATCCACGGAGCATCCACACTACAGACCCTGCAATGAAATTGATAAACTGTAGATGATGACGTTTCTAGAAGGAGGCTCCTCCTGTCACCATCTGCAACTGGTGGGATTCCCACAAGGCAGGCTTCCCGAGGGCAGCATCTGAGGAGGCCCTGGGAGGGCCTCAGTGTAACCTCACCCTAACAGTGAGAGGAAAGTGGTGACTGTAACTTTAAATGGTTGAACACAATTCCTGGCAGATCTGAGAGGCAGCAGCTTGAGGGACAACCCGGGGGCAGGAAGCAGTGGGAGGAGAGGAGTCAGGGCCTCCTTCCCGGGAGCCTCCTTTAATCTTCTCTCCAGCTGACCCCACCCCGCTTCCCGCTAACTATTGGGGGTGTGACCAGCAAGCTGCTAGGGAGGCCAGAGGAGGGTTTGACCACTGGCCTCCAAGCCCACCTTGGCCCACACAGTTGTGCTGGGGACTCCGTCGGGCAAACTGGGATGGTAGAGGTGCTCCGGGCCAGCCTGTTTGAGACCTGTCACCCCCCACAAAAGAACGGGGAATGTTCCCCTCAGCTGACAGGCTGTAGAATCTCCTCAGGGAAGTCAGAGGTCTCAGAAGTTCCCAGAATCCCCAGATCAACACATTCTCGTGGGTTCTGGGCCTCCTTGGAATGACAGGAGAAAATGGTGGGGAGTGGGGCCAGCGCCTTACACAGACACGCAGGCCCTGAGGGGGTCCGTGCCCACCTCAACGAGGATGGGGGAGGGGACCCTTTAATAAAAGTACTTAATTTGCGGCAGGAGTGTTTGCTTTATTGAGTTAGGAGATTAACAGTGGAAATCTCAAATCCGCAAGGAATTTCCCTGGCAGTGCTTTGGTGGGGGTTATTAGTTTGGGGGGTGTTCCAGGCCCTTGGACGAGTCACCCGTGGATGGATTTAAGTGGCTTTTTGAGCGCCTCTGGGCCTTGCCCTCTGTGCATAATGGGGACTGTGTGTGGGCATCTTTTCTAATGTGATCAATGCTGGTAGGTCAGGCTGTTCATGAGATAGATTTTTATGAACTCTGGCTCTTCAGCTTTCCCGGGAGGGAAACACAGCGGCTGCCGGGACTGACCTTGCCTGGAGGGAGGGCTGTGCCAGGTGGGGTGTGGGCAGGCGACCCTCCCCGACAGCAAACAGTTCACCCAGAATTCCATCCTCTCTCAAGCCCAAGTCTGCCTGGGTACAAGGACCGGACGGGAAGGAGAGTGACCTGAGCTGGAACCTGCCCAAAAGTGGAGGGCTCTTTGGTGTTACTCAGAAATACCCAGCGCTGAGGGCCTTCCGAGAGCTCTCAAAGCAAATTTTAAATCCAAGCTGCCTCTGACCTCAACTCGGAGAAGACCAAAAGCATGAAACTGACAGACGTTTCCTATGAGACACCTAAGCTTTGAGAACACGTGACCAGAAAAGGACAGAGAGAGGGCCGGAGAAGTGGGTCAGCTTAGTTGGGTCAAATGAGGTTAGGACATTTTCAAAAGCCCTGATTGGTTCTCCGCACGTAGGTGGGGATGCTCCCTCCCTCTGCGCATGGAGAAAGCCTGAGCTTCATCTCGACTCTAAACTGCTCTTGTGGTTGCCCTCCTACCATCGCGATGCTCTCAGTCTGGGACAGAACGCACCCCAGCCCTCTGCTCTCACCACTCACTGGGTCACCGCTTTGAGGCCGGAGCTGACCACTCCATGCATAAAGCAGAGGCGGAAGCCGGGAGCTCTCAGCACAGAAGTCAACACACCTCATCCATTCATTCAGCTCATATTTACTAAGGGTTTACTACCTGTAGGCCCTGAGCCAGGAGCTGGAGATACAAAAACCAACACAGCAGATGCCCTTCCTCCTCTGTCTAACGAGGCACAGAAGTGGACGGCGGGCGTCTGGTCTGGGGGTCCTCTGAAAACACAGCACAGTGGGACCTAACCAGACAGGAGGGGTCAAGGAAGGCGTCAGGAGGAAGAGGTGTTCACCCCGAGACCTGAAGCGTGGGCCAAGGTTAGCCAGGAGAGGGTGCGGGAGGGGGAAGAGGCTCTGGAGCGGGGAAAGCGGGCTCAGAGGAAGGGGCACAGGGTCCCTGTGGCTGCACTCTAGAGCAGGGGCTGGGATGGCAGTGGCTGGCAGGTCCTGGGCAGGCCATGTTGTGGAGTTTGAGCTTGATGCCTAGGCTGCAGAGGATTTGGGGAGGAAAGGGACAGGATTGTCTGTTTGAAAGAGATCAGTCAGGCAGCACTTGGCCAGTTAGGAGGCTGGTTCAGGTGAGAGACAACAAAACCCTGAACCAAGATGTTGGAAGTGGGAATAAAGAAAAGGGGCGGATTGTAGACATATTTTTTGAGTGGATAATTTAATATTATATATCCTTTTTTAAACTATATTTTTATTGATTTCAGAAAGGAAGGGAAGGGAGAGAGAGATAGGAACATCAATGATAGGAGAGAATCATTGATTGGTTGCCTCCTGCACGCCCCCTACTGGGGATCAGGCCCACAACCTGGGCATGTGCCCTTGACTGGAATTGAACGCAGGACCCTTCAGTCCGCAGGCCAATGCTCTATCCACTGAGCCAAACCAGCTAGGGCTATTATATATCCTTTTAAATACTTTATTTCTAGAGAAGTTTTAG